ACGACGGCACGGCGAAGGGTGTGGCCGGCTGCGTGGAGGAGCTCAACCGCGCGAAGGTCGGCGACCAGCCCATCCACGCACTCGACTGGAACCGCGCGAGGGAGGGCCTGCTCGCCTGCGCCTCCTTCGATCAGAGCGTGCGCGTCGTGCTGGTCACGAAGCTGGCGCTCGTGCAGTAGCCGCCGCACGGCAGGGACAAGCGGGCGTGCTGGCGGTGTGCGTGTGTGTCTGTGCGGGAGAGGGCGCGTACTTATTTGACGAAATGGATGGGAAACGCATGAAGAAAAAAAGAAGAAGCACGGATCGAAAAGAAAAGAGGAAACTGCAGCATCTGCAGGGGTAGAGTCACATTGAACAACACCAGTTAAAGAATGAGTGTTACTCCATCATTCGCAGCATCTACATACTCTTGTGTCTTTTTGCTTTCTTTCGTTCTTTCATCGTCATCTCTCTCTCTCTCTCACACACTGTGTTTGTGTGTGCGTTTCTCGCTGCTGCCACGCAACGGCGTTGCGCCTGGCTGTGAAAGCCACTACTACACGTAGCCCCCCCACGCACACACACCAAAAAAAGAGCCCCCACACGTGCCCACACTTCCACTGATATACATCCCATACAAAAAGATGGCAAACGTTAACCTGCGCACCAAAACGCTGCGGGACGGCACCACGGCGGAAGATCTGTTCAGCGGTGACGGCCTCACTTACAACGACATCATCATCCTTCCAGGCTTTATCGACTTCGGCGCGTCGGACGTGAGCGTGTCGGGGCATTTCACGAAGAAGATCCGTCTGCACATCCCCATCGTCTCCTCTCCGATGGACACCGTGACGGAGAACGATATGGCCCGCACAATGGCGCTAATGGGCGGCATCGGCGTTATCCACAACAACTGCACGGTGCAGTGGCAGGCGCAGATGGTGCGTAGCGTCAAGATATTCCGCAACGGCTTCATCATGAAGCCGAAGTCCGTGGGTCCTGACACGCCCATCTCCGCCATCCACGAGATCAACGCTGAGAAGGGGATCAGCGGCATCCTAGTGACAGAAAATGGTCAATACAACGGCAAGTTGCTAGGCATTATCTGCTCCAAGGACATCGACTTCGTGAAGGACGTTTCTACGCCGGTCTCGCAGTGCATGACGAAGCGCGAGAACATGACGGTGGAGCGCTTCCCCATCAAGTTGGAAGAGGCCATGGGCGTGTTGAACCGGAGCCGCCACGGCTACCTTCCCGTGTTGAATGATGCGGATGAGGTTATGTGCCTCTGCTCGCGCCGTGATGCGGTGCGGGCACGCGTGTACCCGAACAGCAGCCTCGACCGCAAGGGCCACCTGCTGTGCGCCGCGGCGACGTCGACACGCGAAGAGGACAAGGCTCGCGTGACGGCCCTCGCCGCAGCCGGCGTCGACGTCCTCGTGCTGGACAGCTCACAGGGTAACACCATCTATCAAGTTTCCTTCATCAAGTGGGTGAAGAAGACGTTCCCGCACGTGGAGGTGGTTGCCGGCAATGTCGTGACGCAGGACCAGGCGAAGAACCTCATCGACGCCGGCGCCGACGCGCTGCGCATCGGTATGGGGAGCGGCAGCATCTGCATCACGCAGGAGGTGCTCGCCTGCGGCCGCCCGCAGGCTACGGCGGTCTACAAGGTCGCCCGCTACGCTGCCTCGCGTGGGGTGCCCTGCGTCGCCGACGGCGGCATGCGCAGCGTCGGGGACATCTGCAAGGGCCTGGCCATTGGCGCGAACACCGTGATGCTCGGCTCCATGCTCGCCGGTACGTCGGAGACGCCCGGCAGCTACTTCTTCAAGGACGGCCTGCGTCTAAAGGCGTACCGTGGCATGGGCAGCCTCGAGGCCATGACGCAGGGCAAGGAATCGGGCAAGCGGTACCTCTCCGAGAATGAGGCGGTGCAGGTGGCACAGGGCGTTTCCGGCACGGTGCTGGACAAGGGCTCCATCACGCGGCTGCTTGCGTACATCCACAAGGGGCTGCAGCAGTCGGCGCAGGACATCGGCGAGATCAGCTTCGACGCGGTGCGGGAGAAGATGTACGAGGGCCAGGTGCTCTTCAACCGCCGCACAGCCACCGCCCAGTCGGAAGGCAGCGTCCACTCGCTGCACTCCTACGAGAAGAACCTCTTCACGTCAAAGTTGTAGGACAGGAGACGAGGGTGCATCTTTCTAACTGAAATTAATTACACGCATAAGCAAAGCCAGAACAAAACCAAGAAGCAAAAACAAAAAAATGCCAACAACAACATTGGTAACAACAAACACGAAGAAAAAAAGAAAAAAAAAGGAAAACAAGCTCGGCATGGGCATCATTTTGTCCCGGCTTTTCCGCCGCTCGCCCCCAGACCCACGGGGTCATAAACCCAAGAAAGTACATGCCGAGTAAACGTGGACTTATGAAATCATAAAAGGAAAGGACTCACGGAAGGAGAAATCAAAGAAAAAATATCCGCATCGTTGAGGTGGCCCTGGCAGAAATAGGAACAACCAGCCAAGAGGAAGCAAACAATCGAGATAATGACAACAACAGCAGCGGCCAAAAACAAAAAAAAAAGAGAGAAGTGCGCAACGTTCGGTGGGGGAGAGTGAGAGAATTGAGAATGCATGTGATCTCTAGCTCTTTACCCCATTTGCCCGCTTCTCTTCCTCTTTCCTTTCTTTGTATGCCTTTACCCACCTGCCCGCGCATTCTCCACATCTCTCCGCCCACCCGACACCGCTGTGCGACATGATGCCACGCATCTGCCTTATTCTACTTCGAATCACAGTATCGAAACCTCACGTAAATGCCGCTGCGCCGAAGAAATGGCCCAGCCAACAACGAGGCTGCCGAGCCTCTCATCCGCTGCGCAGATGCGGAGCTGGCCCAATGGAGTGATACAGCTGCAACATCGACAGAAGAAGAATCGTCTTTTGACCCATGGAGGCGCCGGATAGTGACCATTCTGGGTAAAGTGCTGGACGTGCTTCCCGCTGCGCTGACGGTCTTCTTGCGGCCCGACCTGCAGGAGCGGGAGCTACGGGCGCTCGCCGCACTGCAGGAGCGCTACGTCTGCCCGTGGGACGCCGCGAATGAAATACACGTTCAACTTCTCACAACGCTCTGGAGAAGCCACTGGCGATGCATGAGAAAGGATGTACCGCCGCTCACTGCTGACATGTCGTCTGAGCGTTGGAAGGAGCTAGGCTTTCAGGACAAACACCCAGCGACAGACTTCCGAGGTGCCGGGCTACTTTCACTTCGACAGCTTATCTATGTGGTAGAGACGTACCCACGCGAGTGGATCACCGCCATCCAGACCCCAAACTACTTTGCTGCTGCGACGGGCATCAATGTGACGATGCGTCTACTCGTGCTGCTGCAGATTGGCACCGGCTTGAGCTGCCTTGAGGGGAAGATGGCGCGGGGTTACACGCTTAGCTTGGCAAGAGTGAATCTGTCCCGTATGATTTACCACAACAACACTGAGGTAGCTTTGCAGCGGCTTAACGAGGTGTACTGTGCATGTATGCGGAGGGTCTGGATGAGCTGGGAGACGTCATCAAAGAATATCATGCTGTTCAATGCCTTGCTTGACGCATGCTTCGTAGAAATGGAGGAGATAATCAATGTATCATCCTCGTTGGAGGAGTTTTGCGCATTGATGTGAGTCTGCTTTCATTGTGCAAAATGTGTGCGGTTAAAGGCGTAGTGGATATTGATTACCCTCCTTTATTGCTGCCAAAACATCACCACCAACACCACTTCTTCTTCGCCTCTTTTGAGTGATTCCGCTTCGGGTGGGGGTGGGGCGTGATGGCACTGTCGGCGGTTGACATTGCCGAGGCGGCGGCCCAGCAGGTTTCGCTGCTCTCCTTTGACACCCCCGGGCGTGAGGGCGGCAGCTGCTGCCTGTTTGCACCCACCGCCACGCGATGCGGCGTGATGGCAGGTGGCTGCATCACCTCGGTGGCGTGCCGGCACGATACGGTGATGGTGACGCTTGTCCCTACACTGCTCCGGCTGCTGCCGCTGCGGCTTCCTCCGCACGACGGCTTTGCGTGGATACCTGCCGACTCACCGCTCGCAGAGGCGGTGGCGCTGCTCTACGGGCTTCCGCCGGTGCGGCTGCAGGCGGTGTCATCAGATTTTCCTGTGTTCCGCTCGGGCGGCGCACCCGAAACGGTGCAAAGGCGGCTACGGCAGCAGATGGCGCACCGCCACTTGGAGCGCCTCCGTGTGCACGTGCCGCCGCACTTGTCGGCGTGCGTCCCTTTCGATTACAGCCGCGTTGCTGCGTGGCTTGTTGTGTCATTCCCCGGCGCCGATGCGGTGCCTGACTCGTGCCTCTTCATCCTCCCCGACATGCTAGTTGTGCGGGCGGCTGTGCCACATGTGGGGCGCAGCTTTATTTCGCCACACGACCGTGATACAGTTGCGGCGCCTGGTTTGCGCGAAGTGTGTCAGCGGCTCCAGGGACTGCGGCTGCCGTGCGGTCCCGTGTGTCTGCTCGACGCTGCAGAGGCGCCAGACACCCCTCCACTTTTACTCAAAACCGCGGCACAGATGATGTAGGTTGTGCTGACCCACTCCTACTGCTGCACACAAACACAGACAGAGAGCAACACAGTGTTAAAGTCCCTATTGACAGTGCGCCCCCCTTTTGTTATTTTTGCTTGGTCTTGACATGGTAAGCGTGCGCCTTTCACACCGTCACCACCAGTGTTTCGTTTTGTTTTGTGCTTCGTCTGCTTCTACTCCCCCGCGTTATCCTTCCCTTCCATCGATTGGGCAACGAAAAAAAAAAACAGGGCATATACGTATAACTACAAATAGCCACATACACACAAATAAATACCGAGACAGACAGACAGACATAGTTACATACATATATATTGAAAATGGACCCTTTATCGCGCGAAGAGGCGGCTCCCAGGTCCACTTCGTTCTATCGTGGGTTCTACGATGCACAACAGCGGCGGCCAATCAAGAATGTTGAGCCTACACTCGGCCAGGCGGTCGGCGGTGCCATTTTCACGGCACTTCCGTTCGCTGCCATCTACTTTTTATTAATGCGGCGACGGGCTCGAATAGCAGCGGCGACAGCCGCACCCGGCGCAAAGCCGACCGGTTTCATGTCCAACGTGATGGAGATGATGCAGAAACAGATGAACCCCTTGGGGGACAAGAATTTTCGTGTCGAGGTGAAGGACACAAGGTTCAAGGACGTGATAGGCGTCCCCGAGGCATTGGAGGGGGTGCAGCAGTACGTCAACTTCCTCAAGACACCCGAGCTCTTTACGCGGCTCGGCGGCAGGCTGCCGAAAGGCTGCATCCTCACTGGCCAGCCGGGGACAGGCAAAACACTACTTGCTAAAGCAGTCGCGGGGGAGGCAGACGTGCCGTTCTTTACGTGCAGCGGAGCAGACTTCATTGAGGTCTACGCCGGCTCAGGCCCGAAGCGTGTGCGGGAGCTGTTCGCAGCCGCCAAGAAGGAGGCCCCATCTGTCATATTTGTTGACGAAATCGACGCTGTTGGTTCGCGCAGCAATGGGCAGGGTGCGCTGGGTTTGAGCTCAGAAGAGAACCGTACCGTCAACCAGCTTCTGGCAGAGCTCGACGGCCTGCAGGCGAATGAGGCAGTCGTCGTGTTTGCCGCAACCAACTTCATTGAAAATCTCGACAAGGCTCTCCTCCGCGAGGGCCGCTTTGACCGCAAGGTGGAAGTGCCGATGCCGGATCTACAGGCGCGCGAAGACCTCTTCGCGTTTTACCTCAAGCGCGTCGTCACGTCTGATCCAGAGGTGAAGGCGCGGCGCATGGCGAGCCTCACACCCGGCGTCTCGCCGGCCACCATATCGGCGATAGTAAACGAGGCAGCCCTCGCAGCGGCGGTGGAGGGTGACGATGAGGTAACGGAGCGAAGACTGCTTCCAGCCATTGACGACGTTCTTGTTGGTAAAAAGCATCGCAGCCGCATGTCGGAAGCGGTGGCACACCGCGTGGCACTCCACGAGAGTGGACATGCTCTCATCGCGTGGCTTCTACCACAGCAGTCAGACGTCATCAAAGTGTCGATCACCCCGCGCGGCCCCGCAGCGGGGTTTACACAGCAGCTCGGCAAAGAGGTGTTCGACATGCCCACCGATGTCTCACTCTTCACGGATCTCTGTGTCATGCTTGCTGGCCGCCTCGCAGAGGCCACGAGATATGCGGAGCTCACGACTGGTGCACAAGATGATTACCAGCGCGCCACTGAAACGTCGATACGTGAGTTTTTGTCGTTTGGCATGTCGCACCGTGTTGGTCTGCTTGCATTTGAGCCGCAGCGGCTGGGTGAAGGACGGATGTATCAGAGGCACTCAGAGCAAATACAGGCAGTTGCCGAGACGGAGGCAGCGCGGCTGGTGGACACTGCCCATCACTTCACACAGGCACTGATCCTGAAACACAAGGAGACGTTGTATCGACTTGCCGATACACTCTTCACCAAGAAGGAGTTGTTAAGGGAGGATTTGGAGGCATTGCTGGGTCCACGGAGCGCCGCAACCTTGTCAGCAGAGGCGGAGAAGGCACTTGCAGCCTTTGTGCAGAAGTCTGAGGAGTATAGGGTAAAGCAGCGAGACGCTGTCTGTTGAGACGACGTTATGTTTTCTGTTACTGTGACTGTTACTGGTATTGTTGTTGTTAGTTGTTGGATTTACACGCGTGTGCTCTGTCAACGGCTTCTGCGGTTTCGCACTCTTTTCCTCTATTTGCTGTGAGGAGTCTTCGCGTTGGACGCCGCAGTTTGCTGCATCCATTTCTCATTTGTTTTTTCTCCCAAAAAAATTTTTTTGTTTGTTTCCCCCCTTCTTTCTCTCTCTCTCTCTCTCTTTTTTTTTTTTTCTTTCCATTCTTTGCTCCTCTTTCGGCCGCGACATGTGTCCGGGTGAGGCGCGATGGACGAGGGAGGCACGCACAACACAGAGGAGCCGTGTGGGGTGGTGCTTCGTGACGTGGAGTGTGGTGGGCGTGTGCTGCTGCGCCGCGGGGACCACAGCCGCGTGTACCGCGTGCACTGCGCGGCAAGGGGCATCTGGCTTGGGCTGAAGGAGGAGGAGTGCATCAAGCCGCTCGCCATTGTTCGTGCAGTGGCGGCGATACGGCGGTTGCGCTCAGAATATCTTTTGCGCCACTACGACGTCCGTGTGGAGGGTGACCGCACCGTTGTGACACTGACAGAGTTGATGGACTGCAGCCTCAGCGACATGCGCCGCCGCCACAGCAGGCTGACGGAGCCGCAGACGAAGGCCGTCGCATTTCTCGTGTTACACGCACTCGAGGATCTGCATTCCAGGCTCAGCATGGTTCACGCAGACGTGAGCCCCTCCAATATTTTGCTGAAGACGACGGGGGAGCTAAAATTGGGTGACTTCGCCAGCGCGGTACGTGTGGACGAGGCGGTCGAATACTTCGCTGGCACCGTTTTCTACACCCCCGTTGAGGTACTGAGGGACCGGCAGCTGGCCTCCAGACCGGCTAGCGATATTTGGGCGCTTGGGGTGACACTTTACGAGTGCGCGAGCGGCGATCATCCGTTCGTTGTGCCATGCAACAATGACTTCTGGTTTTTTTTGTTGGCGATGGAGGAAGCAAAGAAATCTGGGAAACATCCGCAAAACGTGCCACACACCAGCGACGAATTTTATGACTTTTTCACCTCCGTGCTTCGGTGGGACCCCGCGCTGCGNCCAACCGCGAGGTCGCTGCTACACCACACTTGGTTCTCGCAGTTCAGCGTTGTTGCTGCGCACAATGAGTTACGTCTGATGGCTGACTGACGATTTTGTGTGACTGTGTCCTACTTTTGTAAAGTATGTCTAGGGAATTGGGGTGGGTGGGGACTGTTCCGCTGATCTTGCTCTCCAGATCTTTTGCGCCTTTCTTCTTTTATGAGGTTCACATTAGCCAAACCGATGAGGAATCGGGCAATCATCAATGCGGGGGGCCAGCGCTTCGAGGCATGTTTAGCCACACTGCAGCGCTATCCCAACACGCCGTTTGCCAAGATGTTCCAGCTCCCTTCAAGAGGCCGCAGGGGTCGAGAGTTCTTTTTGGATGTCACCCCTCAAGTATTCGAGTGTGTACTGAGCTTTCTGAGGACGCAGCAGCTGAACCTCCCCACGGATAACGCCCAGGTGCGGGCGGAAATTGTTCACTCCCTAAACATATGGGGTCTACTCGAGCATGCGTTCCCACCATCCAAGGAAGAGGCGAGGGAGTCTCTTATCAACGCGCCGTCAGTTGTGCTTCCAGACATATGTGTCGTGCAAATTTGTGATCACATGCAGCACGATCAAGGCGTTAAGCGACATGCTCTTACCATTACATTTGGTGCTGACGGCTTTCAGTTGCGCCGACTCACACAACGCATCCGCCATGATCTGGAGGGACTGATTTCTTCAACGTATTGGCAGTGCTATCAAACAAATGAACGAGCCGCTTTCTTTGTCACAACAAAGGTGGCCAATGGGACAGCCGATCTTCTTTCAACGTCGGTGACCCAGCAACTCATTGAGCACACGGAGTCTATGGGGTACTCTCTGGCCAGCTCCTATGTGACATTGAGCCCTGACGTGGTACACACAAGTGTGCGTATGTTGGTTCACAACTTCACGTTCCGCCGCGCACGGCAAGCCGCATTGGAGGTGGATGACGAAGTGGCACTGACTGATAGTGACACCGACAACAGCAACAACGATGAGACCATCGAAACGTATGCAAACATTGCTGCGCCACATGTGGGCCCATGCAGACAGCCTCTGGGAGGAGAACACTCGCTGCCACCCAGAAACGCAAGGGCAGCCGACATTTGGGGTCGGGACTGACGAATCACCCAAGAGTGTTTTTTTTTGCATACAATGGGGCCCTACCGCGTCCCTCTGGCTGGCACCGCTCTGCGGCGGAGTACTTGCTGGTTCTTACCCGTTCCTGTTTGTCGGTATTGCTTGTTTCAAAGGTCACCCAGCGGTAAAGCAACAAAGTAAAAGTGAAATATGCGTGCGTAGCGACCCTTAGCAGGTTTCCCGGAGTCCTCAATACGGAGGGCCCTGCGTCTTGCCCTTCTTGACGCGGTGCACATTTCTGTTGCAGTATTTGCTCCACCATATGAGCTGCGGTTCCACGTGGTGCGGCCGCCCACCAACTGAATGAATGTCCCAAATGGGCTGTTCTGTGACCCGATCACCCCCAAAGAAACCCCACCATGCAGTAATACCCATTCACCTCTATATGGGGGCAACAACAACTGGTACTACTTGACGCCGATGGACCACGTAAAGTGGGAGGACCTGGGCGTTAATTTGAGCAACGACGAGTGCTACAATCTCTGAGAAGCGTACTGCGGATCGATGTCACACAATGAGGATGTCACGCCCGTGAAGATGTGTACATGCACCGTAGATGTGGACGTTCAGCGCTATTGCGTCGTGGTACTACCCAAGGAGGACGCTGGTAGTGGTAGTGGTGGTGGCGGTGGTGGTGGTGGTGATGGTTCCCGCACACTCAACGCGTTTGTGAAGCTTAATCCCAATCCAGTTCTTGCGAAGAAAGGCATGCCTGGGCTTCTCGGTCTTGGCAAGATTTATGATCCGACAAACTTGTGGACAAGCCCCGTCAACAGTTTAGGGTGGGTCTCGGCGTTCGTGGCAAGCATCAACAGCTCCTACAGAAGCGTACCAGATGAACGCGTTGTGCTGTTTACCACTGCGGATCTAAACTGGTAGGCGGATTTCCGCTTCCCCCACTTCTTTTGGGCGGACACGCACGACTAACGCTGAATGCTGTAGCGCCCCGATTTCTTTAAGCTCGGCGGTGAAGACATCATAAAATAGTCGATGATGATCAGCTAGCGGGCTGTGTGGGGTTTTAATGACAGTTACTCCCAGGTCAAGGCTGTGTACAAAGATGTCCCGAAGCGTACGGAGCCGTGCGTCGACTACGACCGCTGGCACACATGGAAGCAGAACTACGACTTGATTCTGAAGTACAACATTTTGTAGGGCAGCCGGATAGGAACATGATTGCCATGGGGTGACCGGGCGCAATGGGCATGTCGTGCGATGTCAAGTGCAACTAGAAGACTAACAGACTGGACATCGATGGCTGAATTATACTTTCTGGTGCCAGTGAAAAGTCTCAGCTACCTTGGGTAAGCTGTAGGTTCCCTGCATTTCCTTTTAACACGATTTTTCGTTCTACAAAACAGATACAATTGACCGTGGATATATTAATGACGTGGGGGGGG